TCGCAGCCTTTAGGATTCTCTAACCTTAGAATCATGAAGTTGGGTAGAAGTACTCTCGGAATATATAAGCACATACTCTATAATTCCTCAGTCTTAAGATCATGGAGTTGGGGAGAAGTAGTTGCAGAAAATAGCACAGACACTAGGGTCGCTATATTTTTTTTTTAATTTCAGAAAAACTGAATATTGAAATATGCATATAAAAATACAATCTTTTCTCTTAAGGTAGAATGCTACTCGCATGTTTTTGACATGTGATTCTATTGTAGCACACAGAGCAGTGACAATATTATGAGTCAAAATCTGTCTACAATTATTCTTCTTAGTATTAGTCAGAATGTAAATTTTTTGGGTTCAACAGTGAAATAATATGCATAAATGCATACAATTTTAGCAGCAATTTTCATAGACCACGAAGGAAACATTTCCTCATTAAAAACCCACTAAAATATTATCAATTTTTGTTAATACTTCTAGAAATCTGAAAATCCTATATATCTTTTTTTGACCACATGTCAATGAGCAATATTTTGAGATGCCATAGGAAAATGCCCTAAAACAGGTAAAACATGCTAATTTCATTAATCGATTTTCTCTGAACTGAGAAAGGTGACTGCAAATTTGTATTTCATTTTCCTCCTCCTTGTAACATATCAAATAAGAAAATATAAAGAAAATGACAATATTTTGACTTTTATGTAGCGTTCTACATTAAGGTATTAGTGCAATGTACATTCAAATTTTTAATAAATAAACAATACAGTTTATATGTCTTGTACCTTAGGACACATATTGCACATAAAAAGCTTTTACTGGCAAAGTCAGAACTTCTTTTTTGTTTTACAAAAAGAAATAACTGTTGTTTTAGTCCTTTTAGCGCGAGCGCAAAAACTAAGCTGACCGCTAAAGAAATCCTGACTAGACGCATCTGCGGACATTTGACTGATATTAATTATTCATAATGTCATTGTTTATTCATGAGTGGGTGTGTGAAAGTAAACGTGATGTTTTAAAGATTGATTCGATTCGATCGCAGAGATGGATACTTTAACTTTTGTTAAGCGCAACGGCGATACTTTCATCCATGTTTACTGGAAATTGATTTAAAAGTACAATGTACATTGTATATAAGTTTTCTTTCAAAATCGCCGGGACCTCAGAAGTGAAAGGTCACGTACATTAACATAGATAAGAGATGACGTATACAGCTGCACTTTGATTCGTTGTCAATGCTAGTCAACATCTTTTAATTAGCATAATCATCGGAGTAATTTCGCTCCGGTTTTCACTCCAACGAAGGGGGGTCACCTGCAGATGCGCTCAGTTGGGATTTCTTTCGCAGTCACGCTAGTTTTTACCATCACGTTAAAAAGGCTAAATTGACAATTAATTATATTTTTTTTTGTAAAACAAAAAAGAAGTCCCGACTTTGCCAGTCTAATAAAATGCTGTGCAGCAAATGTTGAAATTTTATCTGAGTGTCCGACAAGGCATTGTAAATCATTGTTGGTCAAAAGAAAATTTTAGACTAACTGGATATTCATTGCAGGCCTTGACCATTTTTTTTAAAATTACCGGTCGAAAATTATATGAATTTATTTTTTATTTGAAGGGTTTGCTTGCTGGAAGCTTCCATGGGTAGCCAATATAACGGAACCAGCAGTCAATGTGTTAAGATTTGGGGCTTACAAATTTTATGATATTGAATATAACTGGTGCTTTAATAATTAAATACAATCTTAGTACAGCTGAGCATGTGATAAAAAGTAGAAAATTACTAAAAGTGGTAATAAATATAAATGTAGCTGCCATGCTGCAAAATATTCTAAAACTCTATCAGACCTTCAGCAAAATAAGAGACTAATTTGAGATTTCTGTATTTATATGTACCCGTAAGATGAATTATTTGATGGGTTTTTCTTTACAATTCTAGTGAATTTTACTCAGTGAATATCTGTGCAACATCATATCCACTATTAAAATCAAATCCAGTTAATATATTACATATTCTCAAAAAGGCCCAGTGTAAAGAAAATAAAAATTCTGGTCAATTTCTTTCCAAGATTGATGCGTCCAGTTTTCTTTTTAAATAAAACAGTTATTAAATTTGTGCTTGCAATTAGATTTTTTTTGAGATGCTGAATTGTTCGATTTACGAAAACATTGAGTTAAACAAATGGCCGCTCCTATATTTTAGAAATCACATCCAAATTGTAACTTGATGTTTGTAACCTGATGTCTGTAACTCAATGTCCGTAACTCAATGTCTGTAACTTGAACAATTCAGCAACCTGAATATTATTACAAAAAAAATCATTTTCTTTTGTTTTTCATTCCATTTTTTCTAAAAAAAAGGGGTGATGCACATTTTGATTTTTAACTGAAGTGCATGACCACCAGAATTTGTTTATGCATAATCATTTATAAGCATATCATAATAGCACATTTCAATATTTAAGGGAATTATAGCCATAATTGAACACAGTAAAATATGAACAATATCAAAATCCTGATAAGCCAACTGTTTTCAAATTACAGACTTAGGTTCAATTAGTTGCTTAGTTTTCGACTGTTCCATAGGATGGTTTCTTTGTATCATCCTCCACATCACTGGTCCCATCAGACTTCTCAGAATCTTTCAATAATGAATACGTCAGAGCATCCATGTTGTGTGCTTTATCGATATCTCGTTTCAGAACAAAAAGTGTCGTAACATATAGCAATGCACTGTAATAAAAAAAAATTGCATGAATTTAAAAGTACAGTGAAAAAGAGTTTTTCAAGATGTACATGTGGTTACAGCTGAAGAGATTTGATGATATTCCCTTTGATCACCAAATTTTTTTCACACTTAAATTTGTTCACATTTTCTGTTATTTTCACTCTAGTGGTATGCAATACTCGCCCAGTAATGGCATGGTACCACCAATACTAGCGCCCTCTAGTGGTATGCAATACTCACCCAGTAACGGCATGGTACCACCAATACTAGCGCCCTCTAGTGGTATGCAATACTCGCCCAGTAATGGCATGGTACCACCAATACTAGCGCCCTCTAGTGGTATGCAATACTCGCCCAGTAACGGCATGGTACCACCAATACTAGCGCCCTCTAGTGGTATGCAATACTCGCCCAGTAATGGCATGGTACCACCAATACTAGCGCCCTCTAGTGGTATGCAATACTCACCCAGTAACGGCATGGTACCACCAATACTAGCACCCTCTAGTGGTATGCAATACTCACCCAGTAATGACATGGTACCACCAATACTAGTGCCCTCTAGTGGTATGCAATACTCACCCAGTAACGTACATTCCTGGATACAATATAAGTAGTGCTATTTTGAGATTTGTAAGATCTGCTAATGGAGTCACCAGTAATGGCATGGTACCACCAATATTAGAAATAATAAAAAAATAAACGGCGATTGCAGCAGTGCGAATTGTTGATGGGACCAATTCCACTATGACTGTCAAGGTGACTCCAACCCACATCTCACCTGTCAAAATATGAAATTCAAATCAAAGTAAATTAACATTTTCTGATCCATAATTTTTACAACTTTTCACAAGTAAGTAAACTAGCAATAAACACAAATCAGAAGTTGCAATGTTTGTGAGTTATACGTGTTGGATCATGATTATTTTCACAACTCTACATTATTCTTTTGATCCAAAAAATCTATAACACCTGTCTAGCACAGTTTTGAATTTCCCGTCTAATACATGCTGAATATAATTAACCTAGAAAATATGTTCGATATTTTCTCAGACACATGGAGCAACTTTTAGTAAAGAAACATCAAATAAATGCTGCACACACTTTGCAGACTTGTTACTTTACAAAGTGCAGTCTGGCCTAGCACTAACTATGTTGAATAATTAATTTCTGCGAGTAGTGACCATTTTGGGGCTACTACATGTATGTCATCTTCTAAAATATCCTCTCCTGAAATCTTTCATGTATAACCAAAATAAATGTGAGAAAAAGACAACAAGCAGAGATGTGTTCAAATATATATATATATACATACTTAGTCACACAACACAGATTCTTAGAATAGGTTTTTATATTTATATATTGAGGAACTAAGACTTTATAGAAAAAATTACTACATAAAATTAACGTTTTCACCACCAGCCTTTCTCGCCCAACTTTTTCTGCACTTTTTTCTTATATTCGTCGAAATTTCTGGATAAGAATCCTAATTTTGGAGCCAGCAGACAAAATTTGAGTCAAGTATCAGTTTTTACTGAAACAGTTTGGCTATTTTTGTCCTTATCTTTTGAAGGAAAGTGCAGACTATAAACAGGACTATTTTGTGAATTTGTGGTGAAAAAGCTAAGTCTGTAGCATCAGTGAATTCTTTTAGTTATAAACGGAAGTTTAATTTGAGCATAATTTTGATGTTCAGTTGTCGTGATTTTAATGTATTAACTAATGTATGTAGTTTCATTAAACTTGACCTGTGGATAGATGAAAGAGTTTATCAAGTTTAAATACAAACTAATGACGCACTGAGATGCTGACAACTCAATCTGAAAAATATATACAGACATGCATGTTAATTATTGCTTGTTGACAAAATTTCTTCTGAACATCATGGATCGACATCAGCGAAATGCTGAAATTGATATATGACAACTTATTACTTTACTGTCAAGGGCTTTCAATAAAATATTAGTGACAATAAACCTTTATGATATATTACTAATGGAGAATAATAATTCATGGAATACCTTTTGCATTTCTCGACAAATTTCATGTTTAACAAAAACTTGTATGTCATTAACACTACACAAGAAAGTGTGATGACATTTAATTTAAGAGAATAAAAATGTGCTCCACAGATAAGCAACTAATTACTTACCAAATATATAGGTTGGTATTTGCATTATAAAAGCCCATGGTGGCGCCAGCCACAGAGTTAAGGCTGCAAATGGAGATGCCAGCAACTGTCAATAAAGATTAATAGTAAAGACGTAAAAACATACATAGTGGCGAACCAGATACATGTATTGCAATTACAAATTTCATGTAACAGTGTTTTTACACAGGTTGTATACATGGAAACCAGACCAGACTATGGCACTTTTATGGTCAGACTGAATTGTTCTAAAAACAAAAGTTTTGTAACAACTCAATAACGAGGGCACCATAAGAAGTCTTCAGAACATTCAAAAGTGACAACCACAAAAACTTACTAAGCTGACCACTATCACCCATATTCTACCAACTGGTCCACTTTTCTTTACCACCCTGTCTGCGATGAATCCACCTAGCACCACGCTGATACTCCCACTAACTAATGGTATCCATGACAACCACATACCAGTGTTTACCTCTGGGTAATACTGGTCGAAAAATGGCTGTGTATTGTAGGCCCATACATAACCAGCTGAAATCAAGAATTAACTGGTCAGTTGAAGCTATAATGTGATGCAGAAATCGGAAAATCAGAAAACCATTTTTTAATTTAAATTATCAAAGGTCACTCATTTTTTGACTAAACGTTAAACATTCTTATGCTATGAAAATTCGAACAATTTCTCAAACAATGAAAATAAATATTTAAGAATTGTTTGCATAGATACTGAAGTGTTTTACATGATAAATAATAAATGCTGACAAGATTTTTTTCAAATGGGGAATGTTGCCGTATAAATAAAATGTTCTACAATACTGTAAATGCATTAATTATTATATGTAACTGGGTTTTAATTTTGCCACTTTTTTCTTATATTCTTCAATATTTCTGGAAATAAACTCTAATTTTGGAGCCAACAGACAAAATTTGATTCAATTTTCAGTTTTTACTCCAAAAATTTGGCTATTTATTGCCAATCTTCTGAAGGAAGATTATTATGTCAATTTGTAATGAAAAGAGGAAACTGGTGATTTAAAGTTTTTTTAAAATTAGTATTATGAAAGCTCTATAATAAATTTAAATTTTATTATTATAAAATATTTTCGCTTGGAACTAATTTTTGCTATTTTCGCTGAAGGAATGATTCAGTGAAAATTAAATCCAGCGAATATATATTTTTACCTATATTTTACGTTCAACTAGTCTAAAATCAGTGAAAATAAATTTCATACGAAACACCAAAAAGTCTTTTCAGCGAAAATTTATTCCAGTTGAAGTATTTTACAGTAAGTTATAAACTTTGACAAAGAATTGTTTCCTTTAATATACTTTCATGGCCAAGTGAACTACAGTGTATTGTATAATCTGTATTAAAAGGCGCTGCTTCTATTAAAATGGTACAATGCAATAGAGGGGATGCGGCTTCTATTAGAGCATCTACACATATGACGAAATGGTGAATTTTTGGTTCTCAATTGTTCAAAAAGAATGGGTGCGGCTTCTATTAGGGATGCGGCTTCTAATACAAATTTTACGGTATATGCCAAATTTAGTGCACATCTTTGTTAACCATTCAAGCATTATTTTCGCTCCAAGATTTAGGTGCAACATTTTGCTTTTATTAGTATTTTTCAACATTTTTTTTATAATTTTGAACCAAATTGGCAATACTTTTATTGGCTTCAGATTTTAGTCAAAATGTTTGTAAAAATATGAAAAAAAAGTGGGTTTTATTTTGTGAATGGTTTCAATAGATGACTTATTGTGAATACAGTGCCAATGATTGAGAAACATCTGTTTTCTGTTAAAACTGTTCATAAAATGCATTTTATTGACATGTTTGAAACATGTATTGATTAAAAATTATTCTTTAGACTCTTGTTGATATTAAAACCCAATCTAAGTATTTTCAGGGGATTTGGTCGATTTATTGCTAGTGGCCTTATTTACAAGATAGGTATTCACAGTTTTGAAAACAGACAGACAGATGGCTATTCTCTTAGAGACCTTTGAAGAAATTGAGTGCATACAGTTAAAAAAAAAAGCAAAACAAAATTTCTCAAAATCTCATGATATTTTTGCACAAGACATTTGTTATTTGAACTTAGACAAAATGTTATACTCATGAATGATATGAACATGTGTTACATTATTTGGATAACAATTTATCAACTTATTTTTCACACATTACCAATATTACCAAGAACGATGACAACAACGACGACGACGACAACAACAATGTACCTACCACCATTTCTGACAGCTCCAGCGAAGCAAATAAATAACAATGACGGGTTACAAAAAGGCTTAGCAACTCTTCCAACTTTAGAACAAAACGACAAACTATTATATTCTGAAACTTTCATTTCCTGGTTATTCTCTTTAGGAATTTTTTTCCTTTCAGGTTCCATCATAGTCAGAATTATTAGGACTCCCAGAACAAACCCAGGAATACCAGCGATAAAAAATGCCCATCTCCAACTCTGTAAATAAAGAAACAAACAGCAGATAATTCTGAAATTAATCAAAACTTTTTGTGCCAGGCGACAGTTCTGGACATTGAATGTCACTGTTGTCTCTCCTGACATTTTTGTATGTGCAAATTGCAAGTGCTAGTGCTGACACATAGTGCATTTTGCCACAGAAGTCATTTCCTGTTTGGGACTACATGACAGAACTTATCAAATGGCAATTTAATGCGCTATCCTGACGTCAACCAGGCTTGGTCGAGCACCTGCAGACCTTAACCAAGGTTCCCCCAAAGTCGCATTCGTTAGTGAATGAATCTCGGCCAGTGGATTGGCCTTCCCATTGAGTCTGTGGCACACTCACCCAGGATAGGGGTTGACCCTTTTTGATGTTCAACCTATGGTAGGATTTGAACTTGGGTCTACCGATCATGAGTCTGATGCAACAACCACTATGCTACCAGTGACTGGTTTATTTAATCAAAACTTTCTAATTGTTCTCGTGTTGGAGAATTTTCCCCTAGACCTGTAAACACATTAATTATTTGCTGTTTTTTAATTTCACTATTTTTCGCTGATATGAAGTTAAATCCACTAAATAAAAGCATGTAAAATAACAATAGAAGTCATTCTATTATGAAAGCCCAGTAAAATTGCTCAAAGCATTGAAATAGTGAAACTAAACGCCAGTGAAAATAATTGTTTTAACAGTACACTCGGGAAAATACAAACAAGAATGAGCTCATTTTTAAAAAAAGCATTTGTTTACTTTTGATTACAGACTTAAAGATGCAATATTTTTTTTTGTGATACAATACAGTCGATATATATTTATTTATTATTTATTTATATATATATTTCGACGGGAAGTGTTTGCAGTCCAGCGTGATATACCAAGCGGAAGTTACGCACTTAGACAAACAAACTAGCGAAACGTACGTCGGTCGGTCTCACTGGAAATGAATTCAAAACAAGGTACAGAAACCACACTGCCTCATTTCGTAATCAGGCCTCTAGAAATGCGACAGAACTAAGTAAACATGTTTGGTCACTCAAAGAAAAAAATATTGAGCACAGAATAACATGGAAAATTCTTGCTCGTGGTAGTCCGTACAGTAGCTCCAGCAAACGATGCATTCTATGTTTGAAGGAAAAATTTATAATAATTTTTAGACCTCACCACTCCACACTAAACAAAAGAAATGAACTTGTATCATCATGCCGACACAGATCAAAAGCCTTATTATGTAACACTTAAACCTGTATGTTTTTTATTTTTAATTAATATGTTAATTTGCGAAGTATATGTATGCTCGTTGGTGCAGTGAATTAAACATAAAGCTCCTGATGAGTGAGGTACTTGTACCTTACGAAACAGTGCTGTCGAGTTTCAATATTCATGTAGTTGTGTATTAATTCCTCTATTACCGCATTTATCCGCTCTACATATACATTGTATTGAGCACTTTTGTTTTGGAATAATCGACTCCCACATCTAGACTATATACAATGTATATATATATGGTAGATGATAACATATAGTCTGTGATATTGCTGTTAGAGACTACATTGGTCTATGATTTGTCATGAACTAAAAATGTTGCCGAGTATTTGTTTGATGGAATAGTGACATTTGCTAATAAGCTTTTGTGTAGATTGTTTGGTACATACAATAACAATGTCTGTATACATATGTGTATTTATACTCTTCATTTTTTATTGAACGAATACTGTTCAGTGTATTTATGCTGCAAAAGCAATATTTATGATAAATCAAACATTTTGTGTCAAACATCCCAATTAAAAAAATACATCTTCAATATTCATCATTATCCCATCTTTGAAGACATGAAGGAAATTATTACTTTTTAAATGACAATTTAATTTTGAAAATATAACTAATATTTTACAAGGTATTTGTTTATTTTTTTTTTCATTTTCCCTATACTGATATACTTGATATGATATTTATGGAGTTAATACATGTAGCTATGGCCAATTATACAAGATTGTAAAAATTAAATAAACAAGTTTTTGGTTCTCTGGAACCATCCTACTCCAATTAATCAAGGAATCCAATACAAGTAGATTCATAGATATCTCTGCAAAGGCAACAGCCAAAGAAATCTACATTAAATCGCTTTACTCAAGTGTGGGGAAAATCACCAAATTTGTTATCATTGCATTAGAATCTTTAAGACAGCTGAATAATTAGGAAAGTAATTTTATCCCTACAAATGCCATCGAATTGTCATATTGCAAAAAATAATAACGACAAGTATTCATTGTTTGGGGTTATTAATATTTGTAAATGAACAGCACCGTCCCTCGCCTCAGAGAATTGAAAATAGTACCTAGTAAACACTACATTTGTCAATAAACACCAATATTTGTCAGTATCATCATAATATCACTTTACTTAAAGTTGACAATTTTGAAACTGTATAGAATGTCTCAGGTCGGACTTCCGGACTTCACCACTTGGCAACAATCACAGTAAAAACAAAGGACGAAAACTACTGTGGAATACTTTATTTTCGCTGGAATTTAATTTTTGCTGAAAAGGCTTTTTGGGCATTTTGTATGGAATTTATTTTCACTGATTTTTGATGAGTTTAATGTGAAATATAGAAAAAAAAGTATATTCGCTAGATTTTATTTTCGCGAAAATAAATTCCAAGCGAAAATAAAGTATTCTACAGTATCAGAAAACTGTACTTTGGGATGGTTGTTGAGAGTCTCCTGAACAGTGTAACAAGATTACCCCTACATGTGTAACATATATAAATTTGGTTGTACAGAATTACTTCAAAGTTGGGTTTGTGTGATTTCCCAACTTTAGCTGATTATACTGGCGTTCCACAGCAGTCCAAAAAAATTTGTGGTACAGTGGTGCAAGTCTTAGCAACATAGAACGTTATGTGGCGTAGCTCAGTCTGCGAGAATAGGTAAAGATTACACATTAAAGTACAAGTATATACCTTTGCTTGAGTAATAAAATTGCCGATTGCATACGCCATACTGTAACCGACGTAAATACCCCAGTTGTAGAAACCAATCGCAGTGGCACGGCCACTCTCTGAAAAATAGTCGGTTATCAAACTAGTTGCAAATGGTGTACAACCTGCTTGCCTGAGAAATGTAACAAAAAAAAACATGAACCAGTATTACATTAAACAGCGTCCGGATTACTTTCGGAAATTCCGTCGCGTTTCGGAAAGTTTTAATTTGTGCTTTTAGGTTAGTGAGGAAGTTATAATAATTTTTCATTTCACTTTAACTCTGTTTTTTACACCCCTCAGACCCCTTTAAAAAGTCACTTCTGGCCATTATAATGGCCACTATTATCTTAATGGCCAAAATATTTACCAGTGTTTTTAAAATGGTGGTTTTAATGACCCATGTTTTATATACTGGTCAGAGTAATTACAATTGCTTTTTAAATGATGGAGTTGATGAAATTTTTTTTTTGATGGGCAGTATAATGGTCATTTTATTTTTCATTACATACATAACATGACCAGTATTTTTGTTCATGTCACTAATATAATGGCCCAGAAAAAA